GGGTCAGTGGTACCTGGTTGGAGGGGACAGTGGTACCTGATTGGAGGGGTCAGTGGTACCTGGTTGGAGGGGACAGTGGTACCTGATTGGAGGGGGACAGTGGTACTTGGCACCGGCCTAGATCTTGGACACTGGGAAACATGGACACTTAAGAACGTAGAACTTCAAGGGACGTGGACTCGGGAGGACGTGGAACCTCGAGGGAGGTGGAACACGGGGGACAGGAGATACAGAGTCTGGAGGAGATAGAGCCCCCAGGACAAAACTGAAGGGACCTCTTCCTAGAGTCTTGGGACCAGGCCATCCCACAGCAGCAGTTCACACCCCAAACCCACACATAGCCTGTGGGAGCCCCAAATTGGACTCTTCTGGTAGCATAGACGAAGTCTTTACATCATCCTCGCCTCTAAAGAGTATTCTGGCAATACTGCTTTCAAGACTAGTTTGTGAAAAAAAAACCAAAACCAAACAAACCAAAAACAAAACAGTAACAAATTTGTCCTGGCAGTCAGTCTGGGATCCTCAGCAGTGGGAAAACATCATTCTTGGTTTAGCAACGCAGCTGCGTACCACTAGCTGTTGTTTCTTGCTGTTAAATGCCCTCGAGTCCAGCACGACTCTATTAACAAACTATCTGAACCCTATTCTATAACTATCTTGTTTCTCTATGTTCATAGAGTTTCCAGAGGCATGTGGTTTAGGAAGTGAATGCCACTCCTGGTACCAGAGCTATATTGTTGTTGTTGTTATGTGCCGTTGAGTCGCTTGTGACTCATAGCGACCCTATGTACAACAGCCCTAAACTCTGCTCTGTCCTGTGCCAATCACACCGTCTCTGACACTCCCATCCCAATTACCCCAGTCACTGAATCAATCCACCTCATAGAGGGCCTTCCTCTCCTGCGCTGTCCCTCCACCCTCCCAAGCATGATGTCCCTCTCTAAGGACCGGTCTCTCCTCACAACAGGTCCAAAGTATGTTAGACGGAGCCTCAGAATCCTTGCCTCCAAGAAGCCACCCGGTTTAACCCTTTCCAGGACAAATCTGTTTGTTTTCCTAGCAGTCCATGGCATTCTCAATACTCTTCTCCAGCACCACAGCTCAAAGGCATCAATTCTCCTTCTATCCTCCTTGATCATTGTTCAACTCTCTGATGCATAACAGGTGATTGCGAAGACCATGGCCTGTATCAGACGCACCTTAGTCTCCAAAGAGACACCATTGCTCTCCAGTACTTTGGAGAGGTCCCTAACATCAGACTTTCCCATGGTAATGCGCCTTTTAATTTCCTGGCTGCTGGTGCCAAGACTGTTGACTATGGAGCCAAGCAAACTAAAGCTATGTACAATCTCAATCTCTTCACCATCCATCCTGATGCTGCCAATTGGTCCAGTGCTGAGAATCTTTGTCTTCTTGACATTGAGCCTCAAGCCATATTGTAGGCTGCAGTCCTTGACACTCTGCAGCAGGCGCTTCAGGTCCTCTTCAGTTTCAGCAAACAGGGTTGTGTCATCCACATAACGGAGATTGTTGATAAATCGTCCACCAATCTTGACCCCACATTTCTCCTCATAGAGCCCAGCCTCCCGGATAATCTGTTCTGCATATAGGTTGAAAAGGTATGGAGATAGGATGCATCCCTGGCGTACGCCCTTCCCAATTTTGAACCATGCAGTGTTCCCTTGCTCTGTTCTGACGACTGCCTCCTGGTCCAAATTTCGCATTAGAACGATCAAGTGTTCTGGGATACCCATTCTTCTCAGAGTCAGCCATAGTTTGTTAAGATCTACACAGTCAAATGCCTTTGCATAGTCAATGAAACACAGATAGACATTCTTCTGGTATCCCCTGCTTTCAGCCAAGATCCATCTAACATCAGCTACAATATCTCTAGTACCACAATCCCTTCTAAACCCAGCCTGGACTTCTGGTAGTTCTCTGTTGATGTGCTGTTCCAGTCGTTTTTGGATAATCTTCAGTAAAATCTTGCTTGCATGTGAAATCAATGATATTGTTCTGTAGTTTCCACATTCTGTTGGGTCACCTTTCTTTGGGATAGAAAATACCATTTTAAAAACACACCAATTCTTGTTGTTGTTAAGTGTCATCCAAGAATCATAGAGACCCTGTGAACTAAAAAGCTGAACCCTGTTCTGTAACTATCACTGCTTCCCTAATGTTCCATAGAGTTTCTGAAGGCATGTGGGCTAAGCAGTGGATTCTTAGATATTCAGAATTCATTGTACACCTTTCACATATTGCCTGAGGCGATGGAAAAGTTCAGCGCCTGGGTCACGTGTACCTTAAGCTAGATCTTTAAGTCCTTTTTTAGTCCTTTAAGCGAGATCTTTGCTTTTCAGCACTTTAAAGCAGCCTTTGAGCCAATCTGCTCAATGCATTATGTCATTTGACTTCTTGACAGTTGCGTCCATGGATGCCAATAGAGGATCCAAGTAAAAGGAAATCCTTGCCCGTTTATTTCTTTTCTCCATCTTCACAACGTGGCTCACTGTAACTGGTCTAGTTGGGAGGATTTCTGTTTTATGTAGGTATAATCCGCACTGAACACCTTTACACTGATGTCCTTGCTTTTCAGGACTTTAGAGAGGTCCCTAAACAGCTAATTTCCCCAATGTGATATGTCTCCTAATTTACTGACCGCTGCTCCCAAGGGTGTTGATTGTGAACCCAAGTAAGATGAAACTGTTGACAACTTCACTCTTTTCTCCGTCTATTGTGATATTGCCTATTGGTTAACTGGTGAGGATTTTTTTTGTCTTAATGCGGAGTTGTAATTCATACTGAAGGTTGCAGAAGGTAAAATATTACAGCATTCAATATGGTTTAAATACTAAGGCCCTTCTAACCCAAGCTGTAGACTATTCAGTTACTTGTTATGCATCTGAAAGTTGGATGGTGAACAAGAAAGATTAGAAGAAAAAATGATGCCTTTAAGTTGTAAAGGAGAATAGCGCTGAATTCCATAAACTGCCGAAAGAACAAGGAGATCTGTTTGGAGAAAGTGTGACCAGGTGCTTCTTGGAAGCAAGGATGGTTGAAACCTCTCCCCACATACTTTGGGCAAATTGTTATGAGGGGTCTGTCCTTGGAGAAGGACATCATGCTTAGAAGCATGAGGGTCAGAGTAGGAGAGGAAGACCCTCAACAAAATGGATTAGCATGGTGACCGTGACAACGGGCTCACATATGTCAGAGATGGCGAGAATGGCACAAGGTCGAGCTGGGTTCAGCTCTCTTGTTTAGAGGGTCGCTATGAGTTGTAATCGGCTCAGTGGCAGCAGACAACAACAACAATAACCACCAATCTTGGTGCTGCATTCTTCACATAGTCCATCTTCTCTGGTTTGCTCAGAATACTTACTGAAAAATTACGAAAAAAAAATATCCATGAAGCATGCCTTTCCTGATTTTAAAATAAAATAACCCTTTGTTCTGTTCACATGACTGCCTCATGGTCTGTATAGAAGTTCTGCAGTGGTGAAAGTAAGTATTCTTGAATTTTTGTTGTTTGAAATGTTACCAATAATTTGTTATGATCCATAGAGTTGAATGTTTTTGCGTAGGGAGCAAAACAGGTTAGCTTGCTTCTGGTATCCTAATCATCAACGAAGTCTGACACCAACGATGACATCATTTTCCTGTGTCCTCTTTTGAGTCTGGCTTGAGTTACCTGCTGGTAACTGGAGTCTGGAATTTACCTGTTGCTGTACTGCTATAATTGTTTTTTAATTAGAATTAGCATCAGCAAACTTTAACTTATGTGAGATAGCGATGATATTATTTGGTAATTTCCACATTCTACTAAATCACATTTCTTTGGAATGAGCACAAGTGTGGATCTCTTCTGACTGCTTGGTCATGAAACTGCCTTCCAGATTTCTTATCCTAGTTATAAATGGCCCCTCTCAGCCTTGCAGCCACCGCTGAAGCAGCTGACCTGGTGTCTTCTTCCTGGAGTCTTGTTTTTCACCTGTGTCTTAGTTCAGCTTGGACATCGTCCTTCTGTACCAATGACTGGCCTCTTTGATCATATGCTGCCTCCTGAAATGGTTGATGTTGACCAATTTCCTTTGGTACAGTGACTCTTCACTTTTCTCTTTAACAAGATTATTTCATTGTTGCACATTTCCTCCCTCACCCCCACCCCCAGTCCACTTTGCTATGCACCTCTTATTCTGGACTGTTGTCATGCAAATATACCTAATCATGTATTTCTTTTAGACAGTTCTTTCCTTCTTCAATTTAAAAGCAGTGTTTATTATTTATCCCCTCTTTTCTTAGTTTCCCCCTAACCCTGATGTCAGTCCTGCTTT